GAAGGGTAAGACCCTTAATTGTTCAGGTGAGAAGAGACTTACGCTTTCAGTGGTTCTTGTAATGTAGCAAATTTCAAAGAGAGCAAACTTCAACTAGATTCCAAATGAAGACTGCAAAACTCATAGACTCTCACTGCAGAGCACTGATCTGCTACGCCATCTCAATCAAAATAGTCAAAATATTTTTGGGTAACTAGTAAATGTGTAATCTAACAGTGTTAATTGGCTCTTGCAGATCAGAATGTTCTTATAAGTTTTATTTAAGAATAAGATGCTGTACAATGAGGCCACTCTTCCAGGGTGGTACTTCAATAATAAAACCACATACGGGGCATGTTTTAGTGCTATCTACTGCAATAAGCCTACTAGCATTGCAGCTGATATTCAGCAAGGGCTCAATCCTGGCTCTTTGCCACCACCACTATCCAACTCCAAAATCCCTGACAATAGAAGGCCCAAACTGCAGCAGAACAGTCCCATTGCAAGCGGACCCTATAACTTCCTGCACGCAGAGCTCCATGATGGCTTTCTCCAGAGAACCATGGAAAGAGCCATTGTCGGTGGACAGTGGAGGTTTTGGAAATGTGACCATTGGATTTGTTCATACACAGTACAAATCCATTGGTCAAAACTGCTTGTGGGGTGTACAAAGGGCCATGCCCATGACTACTGCCCATATGATCGGGGCAACAGCTCTTGCATGGATCTATCTGCCCTATTGGTGGATGATGGGGGAAAGAATTGTTGTTTTCCTCCAGACTCCCAGCCCTGCACAAAATCTTTTCTTTGCTTTTTATCACAAGCAACATAATCATTCAGAGGTTGACTGATCTCGGAGCAAAAGCAGAAATACACTAACTGAAATGTGACCTTCCACAACCAAGAGAGAGCAACTTTGGTATATCGCATTAATAGAAGTTTCATTGTCTTTAACCACACTTCTGATGGGTTGCACTTCATTCCTGGAAGAGCTGTCAAAATAAAACAACTTCCCATAACACAGGATAGCTCAGCCCAGCCGGCTCTTTGCTTCTTTTCATGCTCTTACAAAACTTGTCTTCCTTTCTTTGCAGGATGCAAAAGCTAGTGAAACCATCAGCTGATAAAAAATATGTGGATCTCACGGTGTCGTTTGCTCCAGAAACAGATGGAGATGAAGACTTGCCAGGGCCACCAGTGAGATACTACTTCATCCATGAAGACAATTGATGGTAATGCTACTAAAGTCGCTCTAGGACCATTTGCTTTGAAGGGAGTGTGCTGATTTCGGCTTAAATCAAATAATACATATTTCTTTGGTGAAGCCTTAATTAAATCAGGAACAGTCAAAGTCAGTGAATTGCACTGAAGAGGTCTGTCAAACTGGATTTACTGTTCACCTGTCCCTATTCTCTGCATACATCTGCCCGTTCATAAAGAGGACTGGAGGTTTGCTGAAATGGAATGTCATGTATAATGCGTACCACAAAGAAGAGATTTATATTAATTTATGGGGGAAGGGGGAAAATGGCAAACTTAGCATCTTATTTCAATATGCAAGATAAACGTTAAATGGGGGGGGAAGCAAAAATTGGGGAAATTGTTTTATAACATGGTGGTCAATAATGTTTCATAATCCATTTCTCATGACTCTCTTCTAAAATTGGGGTGCCAACCACATAATCTGAGCACTAGGCCAAATTCATCCCAAGTGTAATTCTATTAAAAAAGCAAATGAATTTGCCTCACTTACATTGTCGGTGTTCTCTTCTGAGCCATTGCTATTACTGTATGTTGGAGCAGTTATTTTTAGGTCAGTCTGGATGTGGAAACGCAGGGGGCGGATTCTCAGCTGGTGTAAATTGTCATAGCTCATTGAAATCAACCGAGTGATGACAGTTGAGTTCTGCCCCAAGATTGCAGTTTGGGAACAGTGAAGTACGGAGAAAGCTGAATTTTGTTGGAGAGTTATGCCCTTATTCTCCCAATTAAGCTCTTCTGCTTGATGAAGAGGCAGGTGAAGTTGTGGCTTAAATTTTCTGCTTCCAAATTAAGAGCACAGTAGCAAATTGTTACCTTTTGAAGGGGGAGGGTCAAGAGGCTATTCTGTGTATTTCATATCAAACATTTGGTTCTTGTTATCTCCTCTTGGTGCCGTAACTCTAGAAGGAAGCTTTATATAGCATATCTGTCTCTACAACACAAATCTGAGTTAATCTGAAAATTGAGTTTATATTGGCCTCAAACTATAATTTAGGTGTCTAAAGTCTGATAGATCCATTTAATTCAGTGGCAGTCAGGAAATCATTTTGGCAATTAGTAGAAAATGCTGGTGCAGTACGACAGCATCAGTGGCAGAATTCTTCAGCATCTACGCACTGGACAGGTGAGCTTGTGTGAATTGTTTCCCTGATTATGGAAAAACTAAAGCAAGTGAGATGGGAACAAAAATCTAATCTACTAACATCGCCCTAAACATTATTATTAGTTTTGCTTTGGAAATAGTTTGCATTTACTGTATCTCCTGCATATGATGCAAAACTTGTTCACCACTATAAAATCAGTGATGTCAATATATGATTCAGTTTATTAACCTTTAGGGATATTTTGGAGCCTAAAATATTGGATAATTGTGCTTGTTCTCATCCCCCCTTTCCTCCCAATTGGTTTATTCAAGAACAAAATATCCGGATGGTTCGGCATTTGGACACCAAATATGTATTGAATTTACAAGCTGGAATCCACTAAAATTATTCCAATATTTGGGAATAAGTCTTAAATGTAGTACCTCTTTTGTAAGGTGTATATATTTTTTACTCTCAACATAGTTTATAGATATTTTATAGTTTTAACAGATTTGGTTTGAAACCCAGCTGGTTTATTTAACTTTTTTTTTTTTTTTTTTTTTTTACAACTTATTCTTTAAAAAAAAAAAAACACACAAAAACCGAACATTCTGTAAAACAGGCAAAGAGATGGCATTCGTAGAGATGGCAAAGTGCATAATAATTGACATAGGGCAAAAGGCAGACAGGGAAGACTATTTGAGAGTAAATATCTGTTTCTGAGTACTGACTGAAATGTGTGTTCCCCCCCAGCAATAGCAGGGACTGCAAATCCCAAATGAAATCTGTGATATAGGTTTTATTTTTTATTTAAATGTTTGGGGCAAACGTAAAGCACTGTGAACTCTAAAAGTCAGGGGCTGGGAAACAATAAAATGTAATTTGAGTAACTAACTTCTTTGTTTATTTACTCAACATGAAAGCGGAGTCGGGTATGTTAGCTGGATGTTAATATCACATAGAACACCTTTGAAAATAAGGAGTCTATAAAAGTCTGGGTGCTTTCCTGACTTAGATCTGATGGTCTCTTCAGGGTTAAAAGTCAATATTCAAATGTAACATACCGAGTGGCCTTTATTAACAGCTTCCTATTTCCTGACAGCATGTAGTTACATGCTGTGTTGGCACTTGAAAACAGGGCTTGCTCCAGCATTGAACACTCATGCACTTTTGTGAACTCTCAATATACAGGTGGTGGGAATTGGGGGGCCAAAATTAGCGAAACACAGAGACATCTCCACATCTCACAAATAGTGGGTGCCCTTTGGGTGCCTTCTGTGGATGATTTCTGCCTAGCTGAACCAATGTATTTACAGTAGTATATATGCTAGGTCACTGCGCATTCTCAGTTTGATGTGTATTTCTCTGGATTTGTCTGAACAGAGGTTGACAGGAGTAGGTTTTTATTACCAAATGTAAAGAGAACGTAGCATGTGACAGAAATGTGTGTGGCCCTACCAGCCAGTAACAATTGCTGTTCATCTTTTCTCACATTAAAAATAACCTGAACTACTGACAAAGCGGATGAACATCTTTTAAAATGGAGGTGTCTGTAGTGACCTAATAGCTGCCAGGTGAGCACTGATTCATCTCAGTAATATATCAACCAGGAGCCCTAATTACAACATGAACCATGCTACTGCTAATCACTTCAGCAAAACCACAATTTGCACATGGAAAGTACAAGACACAAATGTAGTGAAGAAGAATAAAAATTCCCCATTATTTCAATTCACAGCAATGTGCAAATTTCAACTTGGGATATTGCAAACTGCTGCTAAGTGATGCTACTCAGAGAGATTACTTCAGCAGAATGGTCCTCCTCTGTATGCTCTGAAATAATCTGAAATGCTTTTTTTTTTATAAACATGAAGTTGCTCTCTAATACTTTGGAAAAATCGCTGTTCAGCAAAAAGGATACAACAATGTACGGTGTGAAAAGCCGTGTGCTCTCCCTTATTTCTCCATTTGAGTAAGACTGAAGAGGTGGTGGGGAAAGCACCTACGAGAGATGAAGATTATTTCTGCCATGTTGAGGGCATACATCCACCTCTTTTTGCTCCATTTGCAGTTTTGGGCTACTACTGAGCTGCTATTAGATGCTCATAGCAGCAGTGACCACCATGGCTCTCTGAGCTACAGGTTGTTTCCATTTCTTGCAGAATTAGGCACTGTCTATAGAAGCATGATCCATCACCACAAGATTTTGCTCTACAGCACGTTATCCCTTCAATCGATTCGGAACTCAAAGCTGGTGCAAAGTGCCCCAACTTCAACTTAAGTGGGGAAACTTCACTGATTGATTACCTGTTGATTTCTGAGTGGACCTTACGGTGTTTAGTTCTGAACTGTAAAGCTCTAAATGGACTGGAAGCTTCCTAGGTGAGGGACTGCTTTTCTCACCCGATATACAGTGCTGCTGCAGTTGCTGTTTACTGCTCAAGCTGGACCTACTCAATTAATACAAGTGGGGTTGCAGTACTGGTGGAAGCAAATCCTTTGGGAGGGCCTCTGAATTTCAAAATTCATTTTCCTCTTCCTTGGGCCACAGTAGCCCAAGCCTAGACTTTATGGGACTCTCTGAAGATCCATTTCTTTTGGCAGGGTACGGGGAGGGAAGGGCTGAAATGGGTTGCCCTCCCTCCCTGCTTTTGAGGAATATAAGAACATAAAAATGGCCAAACTGGGTCAGACTAAAGGTCCATCTAGCCCAGTAGCCTGTCTTCTGACAGTGGCCAATGCCAGGTGCCCCAGAGGGAATGAACAGAACAGGTCATCATCAAGTGATCCATCCCCTGACACTTATTCCCAGCTTCTGGCAAACAAAGGTTAGGGACACCATCCCTGCCCATCCTAGCTAATAGCCATCAATGGACCTATCCTCCATTAATTTATCTAGTTCTTTTTTGAACCCTGTTACAGTTTTGGCCTTCACAACATCCTCTGGCAAAGAGTTCCACAGGTTGACTGTGTTGTGTGAAAAAATACTTCCTTTTGTTTGTTTTAAATCTGCCTATTAATTTAATTTGGCGACCGCCCCTCCTCCCCCCGCCCCAGTGACTTACCTAGCAGCCTAAATTTGGCCTCCAGGACCTCTCACCTATCCTTCCCTATGTCATTAGTACCTACATGTACCACAACCACCAGCTCCTCCCCAGCACTACACATAAGTCTATCTCGATGTCTCAACCTTCACACCAGTCAGGCAAGTCACCATGCGGTTTTCGCGGTCATTGCAAATCCAGCGATCTATGTTTCTAATGATTGAATCCCCCATAACTATTACCTGTCTCTTCCTAATAACTGGGGTTCCTTCCCCTGGAGAGGTATCCTCAGTTCGAGAGGATACCACAACATCATCTAGAAGGAGGGTCCCAACCAATGTTCCCTTTAATTTTTGACAGGTCGTGTGTGCAAAAACTTTCTTCTGTGCAAATTTTTGTGCGCGTAGTATTTCGCCGTGTGCGCAGGGTTTAGGATCTGTGTGCGCACACAGCCTAGAGGGAACAGTGATCCCAACTATGGGATCGTTTCCCTCTGCTCCAGTTGAATGTTCCCCTTCCCTGAGACTTTCATCCTCCTCAACAGCGCAGAGGCTGTCAGATGGGGGGTGGGACCGTTCTATTGTGTCCCAGAAAATCTCATAAGGCTGCTGAGACAAATGTGCTTAAAGCCATGGAGATGGACTTTGTTTTGTACAAACTGGAAGCCTTAGGAAACAGACATCCAATTTCATGTCCCGTAATTTATTCCACCAGCTTCTGAGATTTGTTGATACAAGATGAGACTGTACTACTAAATTTAGGCCCCACTGGGATTTCCTGGTTTAGAATGTGACTTTTTTCCCCAAGAAAACGTCTGTCCCTCCTACAGTCTTCACTTCAAAGGGGTTGATTTGCACTTTGTCTGTCAGCCTCTTGTCTCTTCGCTCTTTCTTTCAGCTCTTTGCAAAGAGTTTCTGAAAGAATGGGAAAAACACTTGTTAACACTAGAGAGCAGAAGTGTCATGGCAGAGCCATTCCAGCTTCAGCAGCTTCCCAGCGGGGCTTGCGCGCTCCATTGTCACTACAACACGGTTTCTCAACTCTCACTCTGCTTATTTGCCTTATTTATATTGTAGGTAGAATCTACAGCCTCCACTGAGCTAGGCACTGTACATGTACGTATACACTTTTTTCATTTTCCGTACTAATTTGCCATAAACACTCCCTCCCTTCTGTGCTGCGCTAGCCCTTACTCCTGTCTTAACTCAAGGCAATAGGAGAAGCTGGAGGGAGATGATTTAAATATTCAAGCTGTTAAACTGTCCTGGTGGGAGAAGAGCACTTCCAGCTCAAGTGCCGCCCTTGCCAGCAGTAGCAGAACTGGACTTTGTCTACTCTGTCCAGCATAATCAGAGGCCCTTTCACATTATCTACTGTAAATAAGTTTGTCCTAGGCCAGTAAGAGCACCTTCGATTATTGCAACAGTTTTTATAACTCTCTTGCTTTTCACCATTTTTTTTCAATTTCTCTGAAAGTCCTTGAGTCATTTTCTCAGCACTGCACGGGTCTGGATTCCTCCCTCTGCAGAGGAATCAACTGGATTACTTTAATTCATGGAAGCATTTCCCTTGGCTCTAGGTTTTGATAAAGTTTGTTCTTACAAAATCTAAGTTTGGGGGCAAATTTTATCTCCGTATCCTCAAGCATAAGCAAGGTAAGTGTCCAGTGGAGGTGGCTAGGAGTAAATATTGTGATTGGGGCCCTAATGTACCAGGTGCTGTACAAACAGAGCTCCAGGCCCTGAAGAACTTCAGTCTAATGACATAAAGAGGATGACGATACACCATGCGAGCAAATCTGGTGAAGTGGCACAGGTTTGTCAATTCGAGGTGGTTTTTTTTAATGGGTCAGAGGAAGAGAATTGGAAAAGTGGAAGAGTCACAGCTTATCACCTGCCTGGCCATGATCAGAATGGTGGTTTTTGGAGGCATCGTGGCGAAGGTGAGGTTTAAAGAGGACATACAATTAGGAGCTGTTCAGATTTTAAGAGTTTTGCCCATGTATAAGGGGCAATATGGGGGAGAAACTGCGCAAAGGCCAGGGGTTGACAGTGGGGTCGGACAGTGCACATAGCCCATGCAGTCCTTGGCCTTGCTACTGAGACTGCCAACAAGTGTCAGTATCAACTACGGGCTCGTGTGCCACAAAAATGGAGAGACCACACCAATTCATTTAACACAGGGCGCTAAACAGGAGTCAGTCGCTGCAGTCATCATCTGGGTTGAACCAATACACTGAAGGCAAAAACCTCTTGTCTTCCATCTCTAATCCCTCCCTGTGGCCACTGACAATATCTACTTGCGTTTACCCCACATCCTGAGACGTCCTTGTCAGGGGGAGAAGCCATGCTGCTTTTGATACTGAGGTGTGCAGACTGATAGAGATGCTGCTGTAGCCCCCACTGCATGTGACTCTTCCTTCCCCAAAAAACTCACTTTCCCCTGACTTCAAACCTAACTTTCAAAGAGACAGAAGGCCCCCAAAGCTGTCCTGTCCTCACCATACATGTATCTGGCTACAGGATTCTCCTGAAGCGGTGCTGTTACTGTCTCAGGCATAGGGCTCCTGAGAGGCTTGGCTCCGGGATGAGGGACAATCGCCGGGTGCATCTCTCTTGGAGCATGCTCTAAAGGAAGTCCAGCTGCAGAAAAAGGACAGAAGATTTAATGCTCCCCTGAAGAACCTAGCCCCATTTATTAAGAATAAGGGTATGTCTACATAGCAAAGAAAACCCAATGACTGGCTGGTGCCAGTTGGCTTGGGCTGTGGGCCTTTTTCACTGCTGTGTAGACTTCTGGGCTCAGGCTGGAGCCCAAGCTCTGGGACCCTCCCAGCTCTGCTGAAAGAATAGGTGGCTTACTTCAGTTATTTTGTAATTAGAGTGATTTGATAGAATTAACTCCTCCTCTGTTTGTAACGTGAGATGTTTTTGTTCAAAATATTCAATCCATGTCTTATGCCCAAACGTTTCAGCCCATATGGCCTGCTTGCAAATTAGTTGCTGTGCTTACATGTAGAAACAAGCCGCATACCCGATTTGTTGTCATACGTGTGTGTGACAAATGGCTTCAAGCTCCCTTGAGTTTGATTCACAAAGTAATCAATGACATCATGAAGGCTCAGGAGCATAACCTAGGTAACAAAAAGGGGTGTGAAAAGTTACTGTGAGCCATGTTTTCAGTCTGAAATGTGTTAGCAGGTAGGTACATAAAGATATTGTCAAGTAGCTGAAACTGCAATGCACTGTGTTTTGAGAGCCACCTACTTACTATAAGTGCGGTGAAAATAGGAGCTTCCAGGAGCATGCAAATAGAAGGGCAAAATACTTGCTGAAAATCAGCATTGCATGTTAGGCACATTGTAGGAGCGGGCTTATGCACTGCACTGAGGGGGATGCACCGCAGGCTTGGGCCTTGAACAAGGCGGAAGCTTGGGCTTGCTTCCCAGAAACCCCTGCTGCTGCCTTTCTCTCCCTCAGTGCAAAGTGCAGCTCCAGCCAGGCTGGAAACAACCTGGTGTGGAGCTCCTTTTGGCCCCAAACAAAGGAAAGGTGCTAGTACAATACAGTGTGGGTTCCTCCCTTGTCCCCAAAGTAAAGCCTGGGTTGAGACATGACACAAACGACTAGAAAAACACTTGTCTCTTGAGGTCCTGCCCCTCTTCAGCTCAAAGTTTTTCTAGACAGGCTATCGGATCCTACAGGGGGAATTTGGGTTGAGTGAGAGCGCCTGGATTTGGCCTTGGATTTTAATCTTGTTGTCAGACAGGGATAAAATGAGCTGAAAGGTTTTAATAAAATGGCTCCACAGGATATTCCACCACCCCCATCATTGCACAGCTTCATTTTAGGATCCTCACCAAAGGCAGATGTTTGAATAGCAGGAGGAGATGCTAATACCCAAGAGATGCTTCCAGGACAACAGGGGAGTGGAGAGCTGGCCTGAAGTTTTGTGGGGTCCAATGCAAAGTAGAACATGTGCTCCCTTTCCAGATTTGTCCCCCTAGGCTTGCACACCTATGACACCCTTGTCTGTGATCCCCAGAAGCTGCTGCAACCTCTGCCATTGCCAGTTTGTGAGGCTCCATGGCTTTACTATTTGTCTGGTGTTCAAAATAATTTTCATTAGTGTTTCACAGTGCTTTTTATCAGTTGATCTCAATGTGCTTTACATAGGAGATCATGCTTAGTATCCCCATTTTACAGGTGAGGAAACTGAGGCAGAAAGTGACCTAGCGGGCCTCTGGCGGAGCCAGGAATACAGCCCAGGTCTTCTGAGTCCTAGTCCAGTGCCCTCACCACAAGGCAACATTGCCTCTCATTTGGTCTTTTGTTTTAGTTCAGCTTTTTAAACCAATTTCTGTACGTAACGTTTGGGCTCTGCTTCTGGGCACTTAGAGCAACCCACTGAACTAGTACCAGTTTATTTAACCATCTTTGGTTTAGTCCTTTTCCACTCTCCTTTCTGTACTAGGTCAGTAACATTTTCATTTGAGCTAACAGTCCCCACATCCAATTCCAGTTAAGCTGGGGCTATTCAGTGGCAGAGGCCTCAGAGAAAAGGAAACTTGTAGATTTCAGGAGACCGAGTTGCAGGGTGTGGTGTGGTAACACCCTTGAGTGCCCAGTCAAGGGCAACAGAGGTTACAATTTCCTACTTTGAGCAGTTCCACAAGGAAGCTGCCAGCATGAGCACAGAGATCTAACCAACCTGCAAATCCAAATGAAACCTTAGTCATCCTGTAGTGCCATGGTAATTTTGGGCGAGCAGTCTGTTTCTCAAGTTTCGATTTCTAAATTGTGATGGAAGACCCGGCATTTCAGAACTAGATAGAAGAGAAGGGTGAGCCACCCGGGAGAAAGTTGCACCGATTTAATTTAAGGTGTGAGTTTCAACACATCTAGTTAAACTGGTAAAAAGAAAAAAGGCTGTATGGACACTTATTTCTGGGTAAACCAGGGTAATTACTACAGGGTTACCTACTACAGGACAGGCCTAACAAAGAAAATAACAGAACGCCACTAGCGGTCACCTTCAGCCCCCAACTAAAACCCCTCCAACGCATTATTAAGGATCTACAACCTATCCTAAAGGATGACCCAACACTCTCTCAAGTCTTGGGAGACAGGCCAGTCCTTGCCTACAGACAGCCCCGCAACCTGAAGCAAATACTCACCAACAACCACATACCACACAACAGAACCACTAACCCAGGAACTTATCCTTGCAACAAAGCCCGTTGCCAATTGTGCCCACATATCTATTCAGGGGACACCATCACAGGGCCTAATAACATCAGCCACACTATCAGAGGCTCGTTCACCTGCACATCCACCAATGTGATATATGCCATCATGTGCCAGCAATGCCCCTCTGCCATGTACATTGGTCAAACTGGACAGTCTCTACGTAAAAGAATAAATGGACACAAATCAGATGTCAAGAATTATAACATTCATAAACCAGTCGGAGAACACTTCAATCTCTCTGGTCACGCAATCACAGACATGAAGGTCGCTATCTTAAAACAAAAAAACTTCAAATCCAGACTCCAGCGAGAAACTGCTGAATTGGAATTCATTTGCAAATTGGATACTATTAATTTAGGCTTAAATAGAGACTGGGAGTGGCTAAGTCATTATGCAAGGTAGCCTGTTTCCTCTTGTTTTTTCCTACCCCCCCCCCCCAGATGTTCTGGTTTACCTTGGGTTTAAACTTGGAGAGTGGTCAGTTTAGATGAGCTATTACCAGCAAGAGAGTGAGTTTGTGTGTGTATGGGGGTGGGGGGGATGTGAGAAAACCTGGATTTATGCAGGAAATAGCCCGACTTGATTATGTAAAGAGTTGTCACTTTGGATGGGCTAGCACCAGCAGGAGAGTGAATTTGTGTGGGGGGGTGGAGGGTGAGAAAACCTGGATTTGTGCTGGAAATGGCCCACCTGTTGATCACTTTAGATAAGCTATTACCAGCAGGACAGTGGGGTGGGAGGAGGTATTGTTTCATATTCTCTGTGTATATATAAAGTCTGCTGCAGTTTCCACGGTATGCATCTGATGAAGTGAGCTGTAGCTCACGAAAGCTCATGCTCAAATAAATTGGTTAGTCTCTAAGGTGCCACAAGTACTCCTTTTCTTTCAGGGTAATTTCAGTTTAGGTTAAACCTGTTCTTAATTGGTTTAACTGAAACAAGCCTGGCGAAAAGCCAAATAAGAGAGTCCACACAGATTTTGCACTGTTTGATCTAAATTGGTGTTAATTCACACTTTTAGTTAAACTGGTACTGGTAAATGGGTACAACTCTGCATGTAGACAAGTTCAGATACGAGTTCAGTTTACAGGCTGGTCACAGACATAGAATTAACTTCTCAAAGGTATAATAACATGATCCAATTTTTAACTGAGTAATTAACCACTGGAAAAATTTACCAAGGGTTGTGGTGGATTCTTGGTCACTGACAATTTTTAAATCAAGATTGGATGTTTCTTTAAAAGTTCTGCCCTAGGAATTATTTTGCGGAAGTTCATTGGCCTGTGCTACACAGGTCAGACTAGATGATTACAATTGTCCCTTCTAGCCTTAGAATCTATGAATCAGACAAATCCCTGCTTTTTTTGTTCTACTTTTCCATACTCTTTCCAGCTTTCTAACACAGACCCAATATATGGTTTTATATCGCCAACAAGGAAACACCCACTTACTGGTCTTGCCAGTTCAACTGTGTAACCTTTGCCCATGTTCACCACTCTGTAGTGCTTTATGCATGGCCCACTGAAACAAAAAGAAAGTACAGTATTAATACACTGCTGTTAATAAAATAGTGTAAATGAAAATGAAGGGTGATGGCTGCAAGTTTCCTATCTTTTATTTAAGATGTTCATTTGATGGAAAGTTTCAATACACTAATGTTATCAATCTCTTTTTGAAACAGTTCATTTAAAGGTGACCAGCTAAGGGGGAAAAATTGGTTTGTTTGCCTTTTTGCTGCTTTGTGATGTATCAAGAAGAAGCTGGAAAGGTATTTTTTAGGTCTTTGTTTTACTTTAGAAATACCAGGAATAGCAAGTTTTGTCTTCCTTGAGCATAACCTGGGATGCTGGAAACAGCAGCAGGGCCTAGGAGCGTGGGGTCTCTTGAAATAGTTTTCTGGTTCTACGTGAAAATCTCATAGAAAGAATGCCAGAAACTTTACTGATTTCAGATTTCAGACTCAGTTATATAAATGTTCTACATCATGTTTCAAAACAGCACAGGAATTCCCTTGACTGGTGCAGAGGGGACCCTTCTGTGCACCCAGCTGCCAAAACCCTCTGTGTCATGGACCATCCCAATCTCCAACCACTGGCGCCAGAAGGACTGCAAAACTGTGTGTGTGGCGGGGGCAGCAACCAAACGGGCCAAATTTGAGTGATGGTGCAACCCTATGTACCAGGTCACAACACCCCTCACTCGAATTTGGCCTACCCACTCCTCTGTCATGCCAGTGGGGAAGGGCTCTGTTATAGTCAGTCAGCTTCAGACAGGGGCCAAGGTGGGAGGGTTTGGGCCCCGTCTCTACTGTGCCGAGTTCAGGTTCTCAAACATGGAGCCACATGGGTACCCCCCCCCATTTAAAAATGGTGAGCAATGGCCATTTGCCCCCCACCCTCCCAAACCAGTGCCCATGTCACAACCCAAACCCTTCCTGGGACTTCTCTATGCTTTGGGGTCCTGACTGAAAGTCTGGTCCCCCTAGGGAAGGAGGCAGAAAAGGTTAGTCCCTGAGGTAAGTGAGGCCAGGAAGAGGAGAGCAAGAGTAGTGTGTTTGCTACCTACAGGCCCAGTACTTTGTTTTGGGTCTCAGCTGCCTCTGGTTCTGAAGCTCTCCAAACGCTGAAATGTAACAAGTCTTGTGTGGTTTGATGCTGAGTTCAATTTTATTAGCCTTAACGCTGATCATTTGTTCTAGTGTTAGGTATGGCTCCAGAGTGTGCACGTTGGTTGGTGCTTGCTCTGGGGTTTGAAAGTCTAAGATTCCATGACGTAGGATACGACATTTCAAGGACCAGGCACATGCCCTCCGCCTCATCAGGCCAGCACTCTTTGACTGATTTGTGTCTCCTTTGTCGTGTCAATCCTCTCCTCCTCCGTAAGCCAAATCACACTGTCTCTTGAGCCTATGCTCAATGCCTGAATTACCTTCTCCCCATTATTCTCACAATACGGGACAGATTTCACAAGCGATCCCTGGAAATTCTAAATTAGGCATCATAACGCAGTACATATCAATTAGCAGTTAGATAATATCTTGTGGATTCAACCTACTCTATCACCTGTCTGATAGTGACTGAGTAGTTCTTATTGTCACTACCAGGCCGCAGGATCAAGTTCCCCCAAGAAGGATTCGTCTCTAACATCTCAATCGCTTTTTGCCGTGACACTGCATAGAAGCACCTGCAAAGAAGGGAGGAGAGAAGCAGCGTGAACACACTGAGTTCCACTAGCAGAAGCCGATCGTTCTACAGTGGGCAAGTAGCATGAAGACTAGACCTGCCCTACCAGCCTATTCGTAGAGTATCCTGTACCTTAGGTATCTGGGGCTGCCATTTGCCTTTGTTGCTCCAAGAAGTTTCACACATGAAAAGGTCATTCCATAGAGTGATGCCACCGTATCAGCCAATTGGCAGAACTCCAGATAGCTACGATTCATCCCTTTCAGCGTGTGACACGGGGCACAGCTCAGAGGGTAGGCTGTGTAACCAACAAGGCTTAATACCCAAAGTAAAGCGAGTAACGTAAACTGACCCATTTTGCTCACCTTATATGGAATACTTTGAATATCCATCACCAGCAAATATATTACTTAGTACAGTATAATTTTCCTAGAAAGACAAACATGTGACAGTCTAAGGCATGGTTAAAAAAAATAAAGCTTCCACGAAAGCTGCATATGGCCCATTTGTACTTTCTCAAAACAAAACACATTGAAACAGCAAGGCCTAAAATCTCTGGCGAGTGGAGAGAGACAAGATGAGTGCAGTGAAACGCTGCTACAGTAGCAGGAGTGACGGGGCTGAAATGCCAGAATTCTCCAGTGTTGTTAGAGTAATTTAAGTGATTACTCAATTACAGAGATGAGCCTGAACCAAACCCCTATATCCAAATAACCCAAACTCTGTGTACTGAAACCCACAGCTGAATCCAGAGCTAAACTTTGCAAATAATCCCTATCTCTACAATGGGCTAAAACAAAATCTCAGATCCAAACACCCTTGCCTGAATTTTGATGTGTTCAGAATCCGGATCCTGACATGGTGTCTTTGGCCCATCACCGTGGAAGAACCTGCAGTTTATCATGGCTCCTATTGTTTATCAGGGATTTTTTGAAGATAATGAGGTGATAGTTCCCGAAACCAAGAATGCACCCATCAAATACACACATACATACATATAAACATATGCTACAAGGAAACAAGCTAGCAACAGTTGTTCTCAGACCTCTGTGTCCCTCTTCTTTTTATGCAATAGGTATTTTCAAGCACTGCTTCAATAAACGAAAAGGGACAAGTGTAGTACAGTGTTCAATGGAAGAACAAATAATACATAAAATTCCATGCTACTCATGACAAAGTCAAACTTAGACCCCTTAATGTATAATGATTAAGGCTATGAGTCTCTCACAGAGGTCACAGATTCTGGGACCTCCATGACTTCTGCAGCAGCTGGTGCAGCTGGCCCGGGGGGCTGCCAACCGCTGCTGGGGCAATCTCGGGCCACCTCACCATGAGCAGCAGCAAGGGTTTGGGAGTGGGAGGGGACTCAGGGGTGAGGACTCTGGGCAGCGCTTACCTTGGGTGGGGGGGCTCCCCAGAATCTGTAACATGTCACTTCCTAGGAGGAGGCGTGGCCAGGCGGCTCTGTGCGCTGCGTCCACCTGCTGGCAATGCTCCCACAGCTCTCATTGGCTGTGGTTCCTGGCCAATGGGAGCTGCGGAGCGGGTGCTCGGGGTTGGGGCAGCACGCGAAGACACCCCTGGCTGTGCCTTTGTCTAGGGGCTGCAGGGACATGCTGGCCACTTCTGGGAGCTGCGCAGAGCTGGGTAGGGAGCCTGCCAGCCCTCCCCGCAGCACCAGTGGGGGTCCTTGGCCACGCCCCCCCAGAGCACCTGCAGCGCCCATGGAGCCCCCAGACCACTCCCTTCCCCAGGGCACCCAAGTTTTAATCAGTTTTAATAGTACAAGTCATGGACTAGTTACGGACTATGAATTTTTGTTTACTCCCAGTGACTTGTCCATGACTTTTATTAAAAATACCTGTGACTAAAATGTAGTCTTAATAATGATTGATATAAATAATTGGTTTTGTTTGTAAGAAAAGCCATACTGGGTCAGACCAAAGATCCATCTAGCCCCGTATCGTGTCTTCCGACAGTGGCCAATGCCAGGTGCCCAGAGGGAATGAACAGAACAGGTAATCATCAAGTGATCCATCCTGTCACCCATTCCCAGCTTCTGACAAACAGAGGCTAGGGACATCATCCCTGTCCATCCTGTGATTGATGGACTGAACCTCCATGAACTTATCTAGTTCTTTTTTGATCCCTGTTAAAGTTCTGGCCTTCACAACATCCCCTGGCAAGGAGTTCCACAGGTTGACTGTGCGTTGGGTGAAAAAATACTTCCTTTTGTTTGTTTTAAATCCGCTGCCTGTTAATTTCATTTGGTGACCTCTAGTTCTTGTGTTATGAGAAGGAGTAAATAACACTCATTTAATTTCTCCACACCAGTCATGATTTTATAGACCTCTATCATACCCCCCTTAGTCGTCTCTTTTCTAAGCTGAAAAGTCCCAGTTTTATAATCTCTCCTCAAATAGCAGCCATTCAATACCCCTAATAAATTTTGTTGCCCTTTTCTGAACCTTTTCCAATTCCAATATATCTTTTTTGAGATGGGGCAACCACATCTGCATGCAGTATTCAAGATGTGGGTGTACCATGAATTTATACAGCGGCAATAGGATATTTTCTGTCTTATTATCTATCCCTTTCTTAATGATTCCTAACATTGTGTGCTTTTTTGACTGCCACTGCACACTGTGTGGATGTTTTCAGAGAACTATCCACAATGACTCCAAGATCTCTTTCTTGAGTGGTAACAGCTAATTTAGACCCCATCATTTTACATGTCTAGTTGGGATTATGTTTTCAAATGTGCATTACTTTGCATTTATCAGCATTGAATTTCATCATCCATTTTGTTGCCCAGTCACCTAGTTTTGAGAGATCCTTTAATAGCTCTTCGCAGTCTGCCTGGGACTTAACTTTCTTGAGTAGTTTTGTATCGTCTGAAAAATTTGCCACCTCACTGTTCACCCCTTTTTCCAGATCATTTATGAATATGTTGAATAGGTCTGGGGCCAGTATAGACCCCTGTATGCTTATATATAGGAAAATTAAAATGCTCTGAAAGAAAAGAGAAAATTCTGATCAGACTTGTATTGACATAGTTCAGTCTGAACTTACTCTGGCATAGTGTTCATTTTGTTAACGTAGTCTCCCTTGTTTGTCTGCTCCGTGCTCAAAGATGCACTGGGTGACTGTTCCATTGCAGTCCTCCTTTTCTTTTCTTTCTCTAGCACGTCATGCAGCTTAATAAGTTGTCCAGGTAGCAGTGATATACACGCTGGAACTGACAACTGAGAATTAACAAAAAATAAAGTTGTAAAAGAAATGGAATGGGGAGAATAACGTTGGTGGGTGTTAACAGTGGTGAATCCCAACACCACCACCACGCTCTACTAAAAGACAACTACAAAGCAGAAATCTTTTTTTAATGGCTGGATTTAGTAGATGAGCACTGGCTGGTAAATGGAACTGTCTTGTGTCCAAGTCTACCGTGGAATAAAAACTCCAAAGTGATTCTTAGCAAGTGTAGCTAGACGTTCGTAGCAGTGTTGGTGATGGTAATATAATATTTAGGCCTGTTTATTAGCCTGAGATAGAATTTTGGGTTTTGTTTGCCCGTTTGACTTTTGATATTCTTATATCCTTACTAACGTGTGAACAAAGGCACTGTGTGTTGCATCTGCCCACAGCCAGCTGGGGTTTATAGCAAAATGAGAAAAGATAAGGAATAGAGTTAAAGTGTTGCTGGGTAGTGTGGGAGTTTAATATATGAGCGTACACTTGAAGGCTGCCCAACTCCTCTCCCACGCCAAAGTCAAGCAACCAGGCGGGAGGGGTGAGGGAGTTGGGGGGAAGGTATAAGAAACATAAAAACTAAAGAAATGGTGACCCTGGCTGAAACACAATCTCACTCCCTACCCGTCCCATGGGGTACAAAAGAGGTGGTACTAAAGCCCCCAGACTCAAGACCCTCCACAATGGAATATGACCATAAATTGTAAGGGGTGGTACCAGGGGCGAGCACTACAGGTATAATTAACCCCACTAAAAAGGAGAAGGGGGAAACAGGCAAGCTCTACTGGTGTAAAGAGCTGCGATATGCTTGCTTGTTAACCCCATTAAACATTGCATTACCTGCGCTTTGGACTCTGGTCTTTTGCTTTCTGTCTGCGTGATAAGAACCAAGAGAGGGCAGGGGAGTCTTAACAAGCAAATGCAGCTGTGGCCTGACTTTCTGAAATGCTGAGCACCCACAACGCCATTGATTTCAATGGGAATTGTGGATACTTAGCCCTTCTGAAAATCAGTCATATGGAGGGTGTCTACACTGTAATAAAAAACCCAGAGCACTGAGCCTCAGAGCCCAGGTCAATTGACTCGTGGTCACAGGACTGGGGCTGTGAGGCTAAAAACTGCAGTGTAGACTTTCAGGCTTGGGCTGAAGCCTGGGCTCTGAGACCCTCCTGCCTCACGGGGTTCCTGAGCCCGGACTCCAGCCCAAATGTCTATACTGCTGTTTTGAGCCCCGTGAGCTCAAATCAGCTGGCCTGGGCCAGCCATAGCCATGCCATGGATATTTTATTGCAGTGTCGATGAACCCTTAATGGCTGGCCTACATATGAAATTTGCACATTTAACTAAAATCAAGTTTTAAATCAATTTAATTAAGGCAATGTAAACTCCCATGTGGACATACTCAAATCACTTTACAACTGGCTTAAATCACTAACCAATCATTATCCACCAATTTGGTCTTTTAAGCAAAACTGATATAAGCCAATTGTGAACAGACAGAAATATGTCCACATAGGGGTTTGCACCATTTTAACTGAATTGATTTTAAAATTTATTTTAATTAAACTGGTGTAAATTTTGTGTTTAGATGTGGCTTAAGTCTCAGCCTGGGGCTGTGAAGAACAATCCCTGGTAAATTGGCTAGAACAAAGTGGTTTTCAACCTTTTTTCATTTGCAAAAAATAATAAATAAATAATTCTGAATGGAGGTAGAGACCCCTTTCGAAATATTAGACATAGTCTAAGGACCCCCAGGGGTCTGTTGAAAACCACTGGGTTGGAAGAAGGAAAGGGAGAAGGCTGTATACGTCAGGCTGTTGTAGTTAAGACATTTCAAACAGCTTATTTCAGGTCTTTTCTACCAGCCCGATAGCATTTGACAAGGCTTGTGTTCTGATCAAAGCAGAATCACGCTCCAGTGATTTGGTGTGAGCACAATGGTAGATTATTTGCAAAGAAGCATCTTGTCCACAGAAAAACTGCAAGTGAAGCAGAAGTTATATTTAATAATGACAATTAAATAAAACTAAATGGAACAGCCCAGACTTTGTCACCAAGTGAAGAAACTTCAAATTAAGCTAAAAGAAACCACCCTTCTTGCAGCCTTTCTGAAGGTTCTTTTTACAAGAGACAGGCATTGCGGCTGTTTCAATTTTAAACTCTGAAGAGAACAGCACAAGAGATAATGCATGGGTTGTCCTGGACCCTGGGGAGAAACCAGTCTGCCAACAGGGGTAAATCCCTTTTTGTGCAATATTGAACTATTGCATTTAAAAAAAATCTAGTATTTTACAAAAGGTGCATATGGCAAACACTGCAACTGCTCAAAATTGTAAAAAACGAACGCAAGCCCACAATCCTGCAAACAAATAGGCACATGCTTAATGTTATGGTAGCCTGAAACAAGGTGGTCCTCCCCCTCAGGCCTGGGGCCAGCCAGGTCTGTTCAATCAGCCCACCTGTGCCATAATTAGCTGCATCTTAGCGAGAGAGTATATTTCATACAAACCAACATGTGATCAAGCAATTGAAGATACAATTTACCATCTGCTAAGAACCAGCACTAAAGAGCTTCCTTACCTGTGTGACTGTGAAGATAAAGCCTTTCCATTCCTCCCCACTGTCATAGTCCTCGACCTGAGAGAATAAAAAGTAGAAACCTAAGAGTGACTCCAAAACCAAGTATTTCCTGGTCTCTGCTGTATGTGTCCCTCTCACAGTCCCCTCTGAGTCTGCATTTTTAAGTTGACTTAAAAAGGAAACCAGCTGGAACTTGTCAGGTTTCCTCACTGTCACCTCTTATCTACCGCCTTTTTGTGCTGAGTGTTCAATCTGTACTCTGACTAGGGTGACCATATTTCCCAAAGGGAAAACAGGACACCACGCAGCACTGGCCCAAGCCCTGCCTGCCCCCCTGGACAGGGCTTAAAGGGACTGTCCAGGCCAAAACGGGACATATGGTCACCTAACTCTGACCTCCTCTGGCAGCTCCCCTTCTGATTTAATGCACACGATGCCATAGTGACTACCTACCTTGAGACTGAAGACAGGTACAATCCCTCTGTATGACACCCTCAAACCCCTTCTCACATAATGTGGAGGGGGTGATAGGCTATGGAAAACTGATTCCCTTTGCCCAATACTTAGCAGGGGTGGAGGGTGAGAGCAGGCGCTCTAGAGAGAGGCAAAGGGACCAGCACCTCATCACTACACATCTGCCTCTCAGCGTGTATGGGACGGGGCACAGTAGGGGATGAAGACCCCCATGTAACTATTTTGGAGGGGGAAGAGAGTAGAATTCCCCCTCATGTACTCCGTGCCCCACATTCATCTTCACCACTCCCTCTTGCTTTTTTATCCCATCTTTCCTATTCTTCCTCTCCTCATCCCATACCTCCTCACCCTCACTGTATGTGAGAGAGAAGGGAAGTGGAAGTGAGCACTGCACCAGAGGCAGACCTGGGTTCCCTAACTGGCCCTGCCACCAACTTGGTGTGTGACCTTGAGCAAGTCACTTCTTAGCTCTGCGCCTCTGTTTCATCTCACATCCTGTCTTGCCTAGCTAGACTGTAAGCTCTTCAGGGCAGGGAGGTTCTCTCTAAGTATGTACAATGCCTAGCACAATGGGGTGCCACTCTTGCTTGGAGTGCTATGGAATGCATATAAGTGAAAGAGATGACATGGGAGGAAGAGAAGGTAGAAACAGGCAGAAGTTGAGCCCTGACACAGAAGGAGTGGGGGGAGGAGAAGGAGGAGCCCCCTTGCTTCAGCAGGGAGCAACAGTGACTGCATGTGCAAAGGAAGCCCTGAAACTGCCTCCCAGGGCTGGAAAGAGGGGAGTGCCATGGTCCCAGAAGATGGAGAAGCCCTGGAGACCCCTCCCCAGGCCAGGAGTGGCAGTGTTCTCTTCCAGAGGTTCCACTGTGTGTGCATTTGTTATTTAAACAAACTAGAATGATTCCAAAATGCCCCTTCCCACCCCCAAAAGGCAGTGGGTATCATGCACCAAGCTTTGAAAAATAACAGCCCTGCCACTGCTTTTTGCTATGTTATGGGGATCAAGAACAGCTTGGGTCAAACACGGCAAATGTGCATAAGTCATGCCTTACTGGGTTCACTCACCTTCAGCTCCACTTCCTCATTTCTCAGCATCAGGATGAACTGTGCACCGCACTTTTCATCTGGATAAACGTTCACTACTGATGTCAAATTCGTCAGCTCTAGTTTCTCTAAATACTGAGAAAGGAAAGAAAGATGGGCATGCATTAGAGCACATCTAAACAAGTCAGCTGTTCCCAGCAGACGCTAACTGAAACAAGAAAACACCAGGGTTTTCTTAAATTTCAGATTGGTGCCATTAACATACATGGCAATACACAGTCCTTTATTTCTTCTTTGAGAAGCTGTTTTCAGCCACAATATACATTTTTGGGCAAACTTCTCACCACTCTTCAGTGTGGGTGTGCAGCACGGATCCCAGAATTCAACAACATTCCCAGACCGATTACAAATTATGCTAGATTCAGCTCTGGGTTACACTGATGTGTCCCATGTGGAGATACATAGTTATTTTATTGATTCACCCTGGCAGCCAAATATGGTGGGTCCCATTAGCTGCAATAGAGGAGCTTAAAAAGTTGAGTCTCTCTGAGGCAAGAGATAACTAGATGGTGAGACGGAGGTTGTCCTGCATGGAGAAACTCTAGGAAGAGCCCACTCAGCAGAGAGGGCAGGGTAAAATATATGGGCCCTATCGTGCCAATAAACACACAACGTGACTAAATGTTATTTATTAGCAGGATAGGGCCCTTTCATGGGGTGGCTTGCCCCTTTACCCACTGTACCCATGACAGGTATCTTTAAGGAGAATGAGCCCAGCTCACCTGTAAGCAGTCAACTCCTTAGGTGGCTGGTTGGTGGCTAATGAGCACCTGCCTCTGATTAAAAGGCAACCAGATGTCATTTATAGGAGACTACTCCTAAGAAGAGGAGTTCCCAGGGAAAGGAAATAGCTCCTCACAGGCTGAGCTCCCTACAGCCATGTGCCCTCGGGAGAAGAGTTGCAGTTAGCAGGAAAGCCATGGCTCCAGGGAAAAAATCAAGGTTGAGAGTTAGCAAAGGGCTTGGCTGTGGGATTGATAAACTCAGAAGTTGTCTGTCTCCTGGCTGACAAGCCTGGGTGTAGTTCAGTCATGCATTCCCACTAGTAAATCAGACCCTTGGTTATGGGGATGCTGTGTGACATGTTAAAGCCACTCAGGGAAATCGAGGAAGGGTGCACCTCCACTCCTGGACCTGGCAGCAAGAGGTGCATATGGATGGCACATACATACTGTTGATAGGCTCATAAACTTTAGTTTGAGCTCCCCCCATCTGTGCTCTCCCTTCCCAGGCTGCCCCTTCTCCAGGGGGCGTCTGTTGTGGACATCTGACTGCTCTGAGGCCACTTCACTGTGGCTACTTTATACTGACATGGAGTGGTAAAACTCTTCTCTCTACCCTAAGGTTCCCCCAAGCAAGCCACTGGCAAGAGCATTAGAGCTACAATTGAAAAACAAATAACAAATGTTAAAAGCTGGGAAATGCAGCTTTAAAGTGACACTTCTTACACAAAACACCCACACAACTTTTTAGCTTCGAGCCCTGTAGACTAACAACAGGAGTTACAGTACTTCACTAAATGTTCCCTCTGGAAGTTCTCTTGTTATGGTTGGTTTCAGAGTAACAGCCGTGTTAGTCTGTATTCGCAAAAAGAAAAGGAGGACTTGTGGCACCTTAGAGACTAACCAATTTATTTGAGCATAAGCTTTCGTGAGCTACAGCTCACTTCATCGGATGCATACTGTGGAAAGTACAGAAGATCTTTTTATACACACAAACCATGAAGAGTGGGGTGGGGGGAGAGAAAACCTTTTATAGTGGTAAACACCCATTTTTTCACCATTTGTGTGTATAAAAAGATTTTCTGTACTTTCCACAGTATGCATCCGATGAAGTGAGCTGTAGCTCACGAAAGCTTATGCTCAAATAAATTGGTTAGTCTCTAAGGTGCCACAAGTACTCCTTTTCTTCTTGTTACCGTTGACTTTTGGGTGAGTAGGAGGTGTCTGTGACTATGCATGGATCTGTTGGAGAAAAAAATAAGGTAGAAAACATCTTTCTCCCATCACAAGTCCATCTCAGTATGTACATCCTGTGATGGGGAACATTTTGGGGATGTTACTTGAGTTCTGTGGAAATGTACAGTAAAAGTATGTTAATTCTTTAGGGTAATTACCTGGGAATTGCTCATGTGAGCATCTTGCTCAGTTACCTTCTGATTTGAATTGAACAGCACTTACAGCTCCATTCATTGAACAGAGTTGTTGCTAATATAACTGAAGTAGTTTCACTGAGCAAAGGCACCGACTTCCACTGGTGCCAGAAGGTGCTCGCTCCCCGTCTGCCCCCAGCCCCACCATGACTCCACCCCTGCCTCGCCCCCTCCCACGCGTGCCCTGCCCCCATTCCAACCCCTTCCCCAAATCTCCGCCTCGGCTCCACCTCTTCCCCGAATGTGCCGCATTCCCGCTCCTCCCCCCTCCCTTCTGGAGCTTGTTACGCCATGAAACAGCTGTTTTGCGGCAGCATGCGCTGGGAGGTAGGGGGAGAGGCGGGGATGCGGCGCGCTCAGGGGAGGAGGCGGAGGTGAGGTGGGGCAGGGAGGGGAGTTTGGCTGCCAGTGGGAGCAGAGCACCCACTAATTTTTCCCTGCAGGTGCTCCACCCCTGAGCACCCACGGAGTCGGCTCCTATGTCACTGAGCAACATGGATTGGAGTTTTTGGTTTAAGAATCATGTTATAAACCATGCTATAAAGACTGCCTAAAGCAACAGAGCTGATATGTTCTTCATTTGCACAAGTGTAACCAAGAATAAACCCAGTGAAGTCAATGGACCCTCAACAGGGTATATCGTATGTGAGAGAAGAACTGGATCTCTTATCTATAAAATGGTATCAGAAAAATATCCCTGCCACACTGCTCTGAGAAGCTGTACATAAACAACATGTGGTTGTTGCGAGCAGAGTTTCAACCACAGTTCAAATGAGACAGACTATGTCCACGTGGGATATGAAAGAACTTTTGCTTTGTATTGGCCCTCATTTCTGAGGTGCAGAAAGGCAGAAGCTCTGTGTTGGAGCAGTTTATTGGACGGACTGGTTTAAGTACCCATATGCAAGATGCAGAAGATGTGCATATTATAACTATACCGCACCTTTCAACCTGACTGGTCTCCAAACAATTAAAAAAGTGTATACACACATACAGCAGCTGCTTCTGAGGTAAAACATGAGGGAGGGAAAGTCTTAGTCAAGGACTGAGCAACCTCCCTGCTCTCATAAGTGCCATGTGCAACATGTTCGTGAATGACCCTGTATAGTAAATGGGCAGGAGTTAATGGGTGATCAGGATATTTTGAACTGAGGTTTGTAAAGCACATTGAAGATCTAAAGAGCTGCATATGTGCCAAGCAAAAGGCTAAAATCATTGAGTTAATATCAAAATGTTGTGTTGCTTGCAGTGTGCTCCCCACTAGCCATTGGTTCTCATCTCAAAAGTGAATATATAGAATAGCCTGAATGACTAAGAATCTTCCTTTTGTTAGGAGTAGACACACACTATTTTTATTATGTGTATCACTTTCTACACTGTAACTCAGGCTCTCTGTTGCAGTGCTTGATACATGTTCCATGGGCTTCAAAGATGCGAGAACAGGGATGGGAGAGACACTTGCAGTAAATGAGTATATACTCACTTGGTGAAAATGGCTACTAAAAATAATCATATATACATACACACAAGCATGTTGCACTACTCACGGTTGGGGTTTTCTTATCACTATAAAAGAAAAGTGTAATCCCTCTGAGTTCTGTCCAGTACTGTTCAAAATCCTGTTGGAAAAGGGCAAGAGTCAGTTTACCTGGAAAATCTTTTTAGCCCCCAAAGAAAAGTGAATGAAATATGGATAAGAAAAGTACCATAACCCAGGTGGGTTTATTTCAGTGCTTTATAGTTTGGTAAAGGTCAAAGACCTTCTGTTTTATAACTTCCAGCAAATGAAACAATTTGTAAAATTATTTCATTCCAGGTCAGGAGTTCCGATATATAGACTTGGGGGCTGATTCATTACTTTGCTACTCCAGTTTATGCCAGTGTAACTCTATTGGCTTCACTGGAGTTATTTAAGTTTAAAACTAGAGTAGCATCGTAGTGATCCACATTCAATATCTTGGTTATGGTAACTGACCAAGTATTGGTATCAGTATGGATTATCAATAGCACTGACAATATCTCAGTACTGATGACCAAGTAGTTTATATTTTTTGACATTTTTGCCCCTCATTTAAAACGTGAACTCCAGCCTGGGGGAGAGAACTGTTGAATAGCTTTTATTTTTCATATTGCTCTCCCTAAGTTGCATAAAAAGCAGACTCCGTACTGAAAACAGATGAAAAGGGGGGCTGGAATTTGTATTAATTCAGACTATAATGACTGTGAACTAGGGTGGGAAATGGGATTTGGGTCATCTAGGGCAAACAGCAAACTAGACAAAATGCAGACTTTCCTCTCACCCCTGTCATCAGTCAGTTTGTTTTAATTATTTAAAGTAGTTAGGGATCAGGAGAAAACCAGTCACTTATTGTTCATCAGAGATACTTTCTTTGTACACCTCTTTATTTATTCCATGATTTCTACTATAAAACTGGAATCCTTACATCTTCCTCTGTTGACTGGGAGTCTATGATTACTACTTTTTCCCTCAAATCCATCAGCTAATTTCTGTTAAAGCTTTAGGTAGTGAATATCTGTCTAGACACCTTCTGAACACACGCATGGGCCAAGATTAAAAAAAAAAGTGTGTGTAAAGTTAGGCAGGCTATTAAGTCCATTTCTAGATGTGACGGGTTACCCCCCACTACGGAGTGCCACCTGATGTCCTGGGGTACCACTGAGCCCGCCTGTTCCAGCAGCCGAGCTACCTTACCCTGTCCTGCTAAGCCAGGCCCTCAAGCCTCCTCTAGCACACACACAGGTAGGGACACACCCAGCTGCAGAAAGACACAGACACTGAAATCAGTACTGCATGGGAAAGCTTTCGGCTAAGGAATTGCCCAGCACTCAAGTGCATGCCCACTCTGGAGAGTAGACCCAAAATTGTATTGTCTTGCACAGAGAACTGTACAGTGTAAGCTAACTGAAATTTGCCTTCTCCCTCAATACGGAGAGAGATATGCACAGCTTTTTGCACCCCCCCCTTCCTGTGTTGTGAATTACACAAACTGGGTTTAAAACAAAAACAAGTTCATTACATACAAGAGATATATTTTTAAGTGATTATAAGGGATAGCCAACAGATCAAAGCAGATCACCTTAGTAAATAACCCTCCTCCCCCGCCCGCAAACTGAGTTTAACACACTAGCTAGGTAGGATATAAATTAGCAAATTCTCACCCTGAGTGATAAACAGGCTGGCAGATTCTTAAGGCACAAGTTGCTTTGGCTTTCTCAGGTTTTCATACACAGGCTAAAGATCCTTTTAGCCTGGGACCATCACTTCCCACAGTTCAGTCCTTGCCTCTCAGGTGTTGGAGAGTGAGAACCCCTTTGATGTCACTGTCCCCCTTTTTATATCTTCCTCTCACTCGCTGGAAAGCTCTTTTGCTGTGACCTAGGTCAAACAGTTCCCATTGCGTAGTGATACCTCTGAGATGTTTCTATTGTACACAGTTCCTGGGGTAATCCTTGTGCTTGTGTGCATTTCCTCAATAAGCCATTCACATTGTTTGGCCTTTTTACTGTCGTACCTGGCAGGCTGCTTGTGGGTGTTTTCAACCTCACAACATGTTTCAGTAACACATAGCCAAACTTTATAACTTCACATACAACGATAGCACATGCAATCCAATGAGATATTAATGTCTAGCAGAGCGAGCCTTTCAGAATACCTCAGAAGACATACTTTGTACAAAACTCGTCCTAATTACATGACAGTGGTGAATATTGGGGTGTCACACTAGGTACCTAACTAAGTGGGGTCTGATTTTTTTTTTCAAAAGTGCTGATCACCCAGAAGCAATCATGTGGAATCCCCATCATTAGAGGTTTTTAAAAACAGGTTGGATAAACACCTGTCAGGGACGATCTAGGTTTACTTGGTCCTGCCACAGCACAAGGGGCTGGACTTGATCTACACATCCTGCCATTGTTCCTCTGAACAATCTAGTCCCACAAAGATTAATATTAACTGTACTGGTTTGTTTGTTCACCAATATCTCCCTCTAACGTAAAGCTAGATTGTTACGCTCACAGTGACACTTTATCTACTTCTCCTTTCAATGATGATAGACTATCGATTTGCAACCAGCTATTGCCTTATTGTTGTAAATCTTCCCTGTAATGAACATGCTAGTTAGTGATGGGAAAGGCTGTAAGACAATCGCAATTAAACACTCTGCTCTCTTGTCTGAGGATGCATGAGAAGCATATATTGTGGGCAAAGCCTTTCATTTTGGGATTTTATTTGTTTAAAATTGCCCAAGTATTTATCAGTGTTCATTACAAAAATTAAAAAATAAGTGAAAATCAGTGCATAAAATTAACGTAATAGTTTTCTGGGTAAATACGAGGATGGTTAATACTGAGAGGCAGGAGGACAGAAAAAAGCAACAAAGAGAAAGGAAGAGTATTGAATGTAAAAGCAGCTTCAGGCTGTGGTGTATTTCATGAACTCTACATTAACAGTATGTATACATGTACCCATGCATGTATCTCTTCCACTACCTTGCCTTACTTTAACAGACAACCTTATATTTACACTGAGACTAATTTATTATTAACCTAAACACATCCACCTGTTTGTCACATACTTGAGTGCTCCAAAATTCAGGTGAAAATCAGTAAAACCTTTTGTAAAACCTGGGGCTTTTTTGGTAAAAGTTGGTTTAAAAAGAAAAACAAAAAAGAAGGGCCTTACTTATGGACTAGTAAATGAAGATAGCAAAACTGTAAAATGTACTTTTGAAAAAGTACTATTTTGGCAAAAAAGTGAGCGTTTCTCACACAAGGGTAAAAACTGCACATCTGCTAGGCCTGACAAACTAAGGCATGCAGGATATTTCCCCCCAAACCTCTACCTGGTGACCTCTCCCCCATAGACTTCAGTCTCATAATAATTCTTTTCAGTTCTCCAGAACCACTTGTGGACTAGGGTGGTTCTCCCCTCAGCATCCTTGTAAGCCCTGAACTGTCTAGAATGGGGTTATGCTTTCTGGACTGAGGGCCTTCTTCCAGCTTCAGCCCCAAAAGAACTAACGAAGGCTGCTAGGCCCCGTCCTTGGTTAGTAATTTTGGCCAAGAACAGAGAAGTGCAGGACGACAGGCGAAGTTTCACCTTTTGTTGTCATGAATGAGTGATACTTTGCTTTACTGAAAATGCACTAGCTGACTGGAGGAATTCCTGCTGTCTGCTTACTGGGAAAAGCTGGTAAAGACGTTGCTCTGCATGGCTATATAGGGTGCAAGGCACCCTCTCATGCTCCTCCTGTATGGCAGGGAAGCAGCATCCCAGGGACTGACTCCATCCCTCCCCCAATGCTGGCTGATAAACTGAGGGACGTACACTGCACCAAGCATGGACCTGATACACGGTATGTTCCTCTCCAGCCCCATTGCAAAGGAGACCCAGATTGTGAATCTTGATCTGCTTCTCAAAGCACGAAAGGCAGCCCAACCTGGTGCTGCCTTATACAATGACCTTGTGGCAAAGCTACAATTTAGACCAATGAAATTGGCAACATTTCACGAGAAGAATATTTACTTTTGAAAATGAGTACTCAGGTGACTGACCCTCTCACACAGCTATAGTTGTCAGGCTCCCCACTTTGGATAACGTGTAAAAGAAGAGGGATCTGATTCTCCACATGCCACTGTAGCTCCGCTGAAGTCAGTGAATCCCCCACCCCCACACACAAGCATGAGCTGACACAAGGGCTATACACCAATTTAGTCTCTCATAACCCCCTGTTCTGAAGGCTTAAGAAGTGCATAGTTTTTATACAGACACTCTGCATAGGCATGAATTTCACCCTAATAAGAATGAGCAAAACCAGTCACTCTGCAAGCTCTATGCATTCAGGAATGTCTTTGGGTCACGGGTAAACAAACTCAACACTGCCTATAAATAAGGTGCACAGACTTGGTCACCTTTATTCCAACTAAAATTAATAGAATTGTGAACCCGTGCTGCCTTCTCAGCATAGCACCTGCTCTGTAACAGGCTGTCCAGAACTGCCATTTCAATTGCATGTAATGCTAGTTTTCCCTTTTCCGATTTGTTGTGTGATAATGCTGTGGCCCGAGGAATAATGGCCACGTTCTACTCAAGGCGTTATTGCATTTCAGAGGTGGGTGAAGTGATTTCTATTTGTAAAATGCTTGGGGATTAAGAGCAGAGGCATTATATAAATGCACATTTATTACTATTAAAGCTATTGGGGGGAAAGTGTTACTAAACATGGCTATTTCCATCATGCTAGATAAAATAAAGAAATGTTTTAGAATAAGTCTGATTGCTGCTAGCTATTTGAATAGCAAGAGTAGTAGTTTATTTGGGGTTTCTTGGTGTTTCAGTTTACTGTGCGACCTATTACTATGGATGTGAATTACTCTGCTATTTTTGTCTTTCAACTGAGTCCATCCTTAGTAGCATGTAACTCCTGTGTGCTCTCCGGCTTCATCTACACTGCAGTTTCCTCCATGTTATGAAACTTTTCTTGAACGAATTTTTAATTTAAATAATTCTGGTGGCTGGTGCCTCAATTTTTAAATAGGTATTTTTTAAAAAATTATCTTTAAAAAGTAGCTTTGGCAAAATTATGTTCTGTTCATGCCAGCTAGCATACCAGTGTCAACAGAAGTCATTCTTTAGACATGGATATAAACTGTAGGCAGATGGGGGATCCTTATTTCTCTAACTGATTTTCATGGCTCTGCCAATTATGACATCAACATTGGCATTTATCTGGAGCTGAAAGAAAGAAGAGCAGGGAGAGACAGGCAAGGTTGCCTTTAAGGACCCGATTCTGCAAAAAGAACTGTGCAAGTTGACTTTTTGGTTGTGCAGAGCCCTATAGAAATCAATGGGGAATCCACATGGGCACAGAGATCTGCTCATGCAGTTCTCTTTATCACATTCAAATAGACTTTGAAGGACAAGTAATGAATGTGCATTATCTAATTTGTTTATTATAAATAGGCCCTGACCGAGAACCAGAGATCCAAGCCACATACTGTCTTTAGGGAAATCTGACTCCAGATCCAACTACAAACTTCACAGCTTGGTTCTGGCTCTACTTTTTATTCATAGCAGATACACATTTGAGCTGATCCCTCAAACACAGAGTTCCTGGCGCTCTGCTTGATCGTAAAAGATTGCATGTTGAAGTTTGGAAGAGCGATGTCCTGTCCTGGTCTTCCTAGCAATGTTTTCCCCTCCTCAGTCGGTTATATTGCGTACTGTGTGCCAGTGGGTCATTTTCTTCTGTGCCTACAGCTGGCTGTCTTTCAGTATGTGAAGTTTTGGAGACTATTTCAGGATGAAAGGTCCTACATAAATGTTATATTATTTTATAGTATGCTCCATATACAAGCATACATTGTTAATGATGGGTCATATCTCAGATTGAAGTTTTTATTTTTCTAATCACTGGTCCAAGATGAGAGCTTCAGTCATGTATTGGTCCTCAAACGCCAAGATTTTCAAAGATGAGAGTCTAAAAGTTAGGCTCCTAAACTCATATTTAGGCCTAACTAAGTGACCTGATTTTCAGAGGAGCTGAGCAATGCCATCTCCCCTGGACTGCAACAGCTGACACCATTTATAATATTTCTAGCCATGATGGTTTCTGAGGTATTGCACCTTAAATGTAATGCTGATCCCTTAGTGTAGCCGCGGGGTTTTTGCATTAGTCTAGGACCATCTGTAATAACCTCAGTACACATTTGGTCAGTGGCTTAGTTTATTTTTATTTTATCCCTTTCACTGCTACACATATTAGGTTTCACATACTATCAGCAATCCCCACTATGTTTATCAGCAACGCATACCCCTAGGGGAGCTTGGGGAGACCTGCTACAGTTTTAAACCCTGCGGAAACAACATTCTAGGGAAAGGTTTCAGAGTGGTAGCCGTGTTAGTCTGTATCAGCAAAAAGAATGAGGAGTTCTTGTGGCACCTTAGAGACTAACAAATTTATTTGGGCATAAGCTTTCATAGGATAAAACCCACTTCATCAGATGCATGCAGTGGAAAGTACAGTAGGAAGATATATATATACAGAGAACATGGAAAAAATGGGTGTTGCCATACCAACTCTAATGAGACAAATCAATTAAGGTGGGCTATTATCAGCAGGAGGAAAAAAAACATTTGTAGTGATAATTAGGATGGCCCATTTCAAACAGTTGACAAGAAGGTGTGAGTAACAGTAGGGGAAAAGTTTCAGAGTAGCAGCCGTGTTAGTCTGTATCCGTAAAAAGAAGAGCAGTACTTGTGGCACGTTAGAGACTAACCAATTTATTAGAGCATAAGCTTTTGTGAGCTACAGCTCACTTCATCGGATGCATGGGGGCAATTAGATGGAGTGTAATGGGTAATTAGATGGAGTGTAAACCTCTGCAAAAGCCAAACTTTTGGTAATATCTATTGTTATACCCCTGCTCCTGGACACTTTTGACCTAACCTTGATAGCAGTCCCTCCATTTATTAAAATTTCGTAAGGAAATGCAGTTCTGTAACAGACCACTCCCGTTCCTGAAATTAATAGTCTCAATACAATCTTCCATGGCCTTTTCTGATGCCCAAGAAAATCCTATTGCAGTGCTGAAAAATTATCAGTTACATGTATGATTCACAGATACTAAGGTCAGAAGGGACCATTATGATCATCTAGTCCGACCTCCTGCACAACGCAGGCCACAGAATCTCACCCACCCACTCCTGCGAAAAACCTCTCAGTGATCTTGGAGTTGTGCAGTGAACTGCCAGTATGTGAGCTAGTGACTCTGGAGAGAGAGTGGCTTTTAAAAGATTCCACATATGGGAGAAATTGAAAAATATCTGCTGTTTATTTCTGGACTGTTACGCAGCATAATGAAACTTCAACCAATCTTCCATGTTGGAATACATCATTAATAGTGATGTTCAAAAATATCACTGTTCTGAACTTCCTCTTGCTATACTGTAGTTAAAAAAAAAAAAAAGGGTAGTAGTTACTTTTCTCTTTGTGAATAGTCTAACCACCGCACTCTACTAAAAAAAAAAAATAATGGGGAAATACAAGTTTACCTTCAAACTTATTTTTGAAAAAATTCATATTTGCGCAGTGATCAAGCACAGAAAATATTAAATCTTTTATAGCCATGACTGGGTCGGGGAAAGGATTATAACGGAAACTGTTTTGCCGTCTTAACTATAATGATCACTATCATCAGGAGCTAAAACAGAGAAATCTATACTAAAAAGCAATCAGCATGTTCAAGGACCTGGTCTGTAAATACTTACTAATAATGTTCACACATGCATACAAGATCAGGATCAGGGCATAAATTATTATCCTGCCTCATAAAAATTCCACTGGACTGTGTTTCCAAAGTAGTCCATAAATAAAAGTTAAATGATTTCAGCATTATATATTTTTAATTATTGTAAGTCATCACCATGCTCATTTTAAATGCTCCATGACTGAGAATTTCAGGCTTAAGACTAGTATGGGATATTTCAGAACAAGATAAACAAATCAAACTTTGCTCTTGTGTCTTAAAGTGTAACCTAAGTGTCTCATCATTATTGCAGCTCTGAAATCAGTCTCAATCAACTTTCCTGTAGATTATAAAAAAAATATGATGGGGTACTGAATAATTATTATGGTGTGTAATGCAGTTCTTTTGATTATATACATTTATAGAATAAAACTGAAATGGAGTAAGAGTCCATTGGAAAACCCAAAATAAACTACAGCTTCAGAAATCAACATCTTTCTCCATCTTTGCTTGTTATAATATTGTCTACCGAAAAGGAAATGCACGTCTATAAATATGGAGACTTTTATGGTACATTTTATATTTATATTATTTTGTTAAAGAGTCTATTTAGTTGAATATATATATACATATACATATATATATAAATAAGAATCTGAAAGCAAAAAAAAATAGTAGTTTCAAGTATGGGAAATATTAGTCTCTGATGCAACAGCAGAAAGTGCCAAGAGATACGCAGGTTTTGTTTACACACAAACTTGACTGAAATAACTAAATCTGTTTTAATTCATGCCTTTAGTTATTTCAGTGCAAATCTGTGTGTGGATACTTACTTCAGAATAAGAGTTTCTTATTTTGATTTTGCTTACATTGGTAAAAAATTGACTTCAACTAAATTGTAATGGGACACTTTCATTCTGAAATAAGTGTGCACAGGACTTTCACTAAAATAACTAAAGGTGTGAATTAAAACAGATTTAATTATTTCAGTGCGAGCTGGGGTGCAGACCAGCCCTAAGGAACAGGTCTCAACACCTGTAATGAGTTACAACACATTTCTCAGAAAAAGTTTAATTGAATGTAGCTGCTCGGATTGTGCACCTTACCTGGTTCCGTGCCCGTCTGACAGATAGAAACCCTTCAAAGTACAGGGGCAGAGCAGTAATCGTCTGTCTCGCTTGGAAGATTCGTCTTGGGGCTGGTACAGGGATTTTCTCAGACTTAGCCATCCTGCTCCCTCCCTATCCGCTGAATCTTGGCTGTGTTCTTTTCCTCTGTGTATTCTTGTCTGCTTATCTTTAGCCTCTGGCAAAGGAAAGGTCGCCCCGGTTTGAGAGAACAAGTTGACGGTACAAAGAGGAAGTCTTGGTGGTTATTTTAAAATAAACAACACACCGCACAGACCCCTTTCTCACTGTATAATCCGAAGAGGAACAAGATTAAATGGATTAAAGGAAACTTTCCTAGCATGCTATTTGTATGTTTCCATCCTGCAGACCAAGGTTCACAATCACAAATGATAATTATGCCATTTCTTACCGGGATTATCATTATTGGATTTAGTCGGGGATCTGTCAGAGAAACCTCCCTCTTACAGTTCACAGACTCTGGAATCTTTACAGGTGACCTGCAAAGAAAGAGAGATTGTGCCCGTTTGCTTCTGAAATGTTTGTTTTGGCTTTTTAAAATTCCACTTGGCTTTTTACATTAAGAATGTCTGACGATTGCTTTTGCTGGAGATCTGGTGGAATTCTGACATAAGAGTGATTGAGAGAAGAAGGTATTTTTAGTGAAAACTGCTGTTTTTGTTGTTGATACATGTGTAACTCAGATTTCTGATAAACACTTGGGGGGGAAAACTTTCTTTGTGAAAAATCCATCATCCCCAAAAGTTCAGATAAGGTGTGGGAGAGATCCCTTTCCCAGGGTGAAATTCTGGCCCTACTGAAGTCAATGGCAAAACTCTTGTTGACTCCAACAGGGCCAGGATTTATCTTCAGGTTTGCGTCCCTTCCAGAAATCCTCAAGAAAGAACAGGGACAGCAAGACATTGTGATATTTCTATAGGTAACAAACAAACAAAAAGTATTTGAGAGCGTGCTCTAGAAAAAGGGAACACATTTTCCCCCGTTATTCTTGTGTGTTACCTTCAAGGCTCCTTTTCTGCTTCCCTGCAACCTTCACGCAGATCCAATAGGGCTTTAATATATGTGACCTGCTTGCGAGGCAACTTTTAGACTGTGCAATTGCTAGGCAAGGATAACAGAAAATCTGGTACTTCCCAGAACTACGTGAAAGTAAAATATCGATTTTTACTCCGCAAGTAATGACTTCTTGGAAAAATCCATATTATTAACTTTTTCTAAGAATTTATTAGATGGCAAATTTTTTCCAATTGTGCTACTTTTGGCATATTTTTGTAGTAAAATGGCAGAACTTGACTCTACTGGGGAAATTCAGCAATGGGGCAAGATATGCACCATTTTTGTGACATTCAGTAGCTGAAGAGCGGCACTTACTGAACTCCCAGCCTTGGAAAGCCAGCACAATCTAAAACCACCATCAGTTCAAAGCAGAAATTAACATGTAATAACTGATGCATTCTTACTATATTTTGACAGATTACAGCATGACTTAGTGAAGGTTTTGACCCCCAAAATTTTTATATTTCAACTCAGAGGTAGACCCTTGAGGTCTAAAGCATTACTATCTAAATAATACTAGACCTGACTGACAACTGTGCTGCAAGTTTATGTGGGTGTTTGTCTGTACATCATGAATGCAAAACGGGCGTAAAATGCTAGTAAATCAGAATGGTAGCATTATACGCACATTGCAGGCATGTGAATGACTATATAAATTTGTTAGTCTCTAAGGTGCCACAAGTACTCCTTTTCTTTTTATAAAAAGTGTAGGGTGTTGGAGAATCAGTTCCTCTGTTTAACTCTTAAGAATGCTTCTTTTTAATAAAATCACCAGAAACAGCATGTCACGTGTAGTGTAAAGATTCTCACACTTTAATCACCACTTTTCTGTAACAGTGTTACCATATTAATGTACATCACTGTGTGATGTTTCTCTAAACAGAAGCTTGCTGTAGTAATCTTGTTTTGTCACTGATATTTAAATAGCAAGGATCTGTAAACCTCTTAACTATTCCTAAATAAATAAGGTTTCTTTTTTTTAAATACTTTTTTGGTTGTATTTTAAAGTGACTGTTTGTTCTCAGGGAGTTGCCTTCTCTGCTCTACAGCAGTGTGTGAGATAGCTTCCCTTTTGAATTTTTCATGATTTTTTGTTTGTTTTTTGTTTGTTTGTTTTTTTGAACACAAACTGTAGGATACGTTGTACCATTTAAGAGGTAACATTTAGACCTGTTTGAAGCTTCCCTTTCTTTTGAGACGTGCCATTTATGATGAAATGTCATCCATTATACCTTCCCTAGTGGAAAAGGTAATTTTCACAGTGAAAGAACTCCAACCTGTTCCCCAAAACTTCTTGTAACTTTGTTTTTATAAAACTAAACAAAACAGCAACCAAACAAACCCAAAATAAATTCCAGGCACATCTGCAATATTGTTTTATATTTTCATAAAACTTAGATTTTTCACTTGAGGCATCTGGCTCTAGAGGATCTCCTCAAAACCTCTGTTAAGATGCTAACCTATTCTGCATTGCCCTATGGCCTTTTTACTCTACTCCAGTGGAGCAAACGTACCATAAAGACAGCAGAGCTTTTTACCAGGGAATATCACTAGTACAGATGTTTTATGGATGGCGCTGAACTGACTATAATGGCTCTCTGCTGCTCCCTTTGAACTCCAGTTTAGAAGGAATGCCAGGGCTACCACCACAGTGCCATTGAACTCCAGCTATTTTTGGCTGCCAGAAGAACCCCAACGGGCTACTCCAGCCTCAGACAAGTTAGAGCATCTCCGAGGCTGCAATTAGAAGACTCCAAAAGGTCTTTACTTTTAAATGTTTGCAGAGTCTAGTGTGTCTCTATGTACCTATGCAAATCCCATTACAACACACATTTTAAGCAAAGGCAGATGCAATTTTCTGGGACAAGAAAAGTAAAATGTTTGAGAAATTGCTCTTATCTGAATACTTGAAGTGATTGTGGGTCAGTTATGCCAATGGAGAAAGATGGTAGAAACTGCCAGAGCCATAGGGCTGATGTCTGGTTGATGTTTGTGGTGCTGGAAATGGCCCACCTTGATTATCACTACAAATCCCCCCCCCGGCGCCCCGCTCTCCTGCTGGTAATAGCTCACCTTAAGTGATCACTCTGGTTACAGTGTGTATGGTAACACCCATTGTTTCATGTTCTCTATGTATATAAATCTCCTCACTGTATTTTCCACTGAATGCATCCAATGAAATGAGCTGTAGCTCACGAAAGCTCATGCTCAAATAAATTTGTTAGTCTCCAAGGTGCCACAAGTCCTCCTTTTCTTTTTTAAAATAGTCATGGACAGTTAGACTGTGAATTTAAAAATAAGCTAGGCCTGACCACAAGAGAGGAACACTAGTAAAGAGGATATACTTAGCAGCACACAGGCTGGAACGGATGAAGAGCTGGAGCATGTGGCTTCTGCCAAAAGCAGACTTTGCAGCTTGTTGCCGAAAAGGGACCAGAATGATCAAATGACAGATTTTCCCTGTCCTTCTATGGGACAAATTTTCAAAAATGGCCTCTGATTCTTCAATTTTTAGGTGCTCACCTCTGGCACCAACAGCCTAGATTTTAGCAGAGCTAAGCACCAGCAGCTTCTATGAATCTCAATTTGAGTGATGGGTGCTCAGTGCTGCTAAAACATCAGGCCTTTGTATCCAGAGCTGGGCAGCCACAAAATGAGACACACATTTTACAGCACTTCACAAAACAAAGCCCCCAACATGGCCTTTTAGCTGTGAAAGGCATAATAAAAAAAATGTGGGCCTCAAAGCTAGAATAGCACCTGTCCCATGTTAGGCAGCCAATATGCAGGAGTGAGAATCTTGCACAGCGAGTACTGTATCTTAAGAGAATAATGTTACCCACCCTTGTGAACTGCTTTGGGTTCTGCAGCTGAAAACCACAGTTTATTGACCACATTTCTCCAGGGGGGCTGACTCAACCACCCAGAGATTCTACAGCTGGTCTGTAAACCACTGACTGAGGGGGTGTAGGCATTGGCTGTGGGTCTCAGAAGCTGGGATTCTAGCCTTGGATCTGCCCCTTTTCTTGCTGCGACAGTTTACTATTTACCACACTGTTCAGCGTGAAAGCATGAGGGGCTGCGAGTTCAGGACAGACTAGCTTAGCATGGGTGGTGCAACAAGAGGGTGAGTGGGGTGTATGTCTAGGAGCTTGCAAAGGGATGGTATATGAATGCACAATGGTGCGGGGACAGCACTGGGTGCAAAAGTGGCCACGTGTGAGTAAGAATGGGTGGCTGAGAGCAGGCAAGGCAGGGGTCTGTGTTTGAAAGGATGGGCACACGACAGTGAGGGCTGTGCGGTAGGACGATGGAGTGGGGGGGGAGGCTGGTGTCTATGTGAGGCAGCAAAGCGTGGGGGGAGGTGACAGCATGCATGGGGCAATGGGGGGTAAAGGGGTAGTTCGGGGGCGAAGGGCGCGGGTACGCAGTGAAACAAAGCCAAGGGGGGGGCGATGGGGCTGGGTGTGAGGGAGACGGGGGAGGGCGCGCGGGGTCTGCCCAGACGGCAGGGCTGGGGGTAGCAGGGGGCGAGGCGGGTGTGCGCAGGCCGGGCACAATGGGGACCTGCGGGGTGGAGGGATGCGCGGGGGGCGGGAGGTACGGGCGCGTGCGCGTGGGGGGCGGGGCCGGGGGTACGGGCGCGTGTGCCTGGGGGTGGGTGCGCGCGCGCGCGGCGGGCGGGGATACGGGCGCGTGTGCCTGGGGGGCGGGGCCGGGGTACGGGCGCGTGTGCCTGGGGGGCGGGGCCGGGTGTACGGGCGCGTGTGCCTGGGGGGCGGGGGTACGGGCGCGTGTCTGTGGGGCGGGCGGGAGTACGGGCGCGTGTGCCTGGGGGGGCGGGGCCGGGTGTACGGGCGCGTGTGCCTGGGGGGCGGGGCCGGGTGTACGGGCGCGTGTGCCTGGGGGGGGCGGGGGGGGTGTGCCGGGGTGGGTGCGCGGCGGGGGTACGGGCGCGTGTGCCTGGGGGGCGGGGCGGGTGTACGGGCGCGTGTGCCTGGGGGCGGGGTACGGGCGCGTGTGCCTGGGGTTGCGCCCCGGGCGGGGGTACGGGCGCGTGTGCCTGGGGGGGCGGGGCCGGGTGTACGGGCGCGTGTGCCTGGGGGGGCGGGGCCGGGTGTACGGGCGCGTGTGCCTGGGGGCGGGGCCG